ATCATTTATTTGATTTTAGCAGTATAAATTTTTGTCACTTTAAAATATGTAGCATGGCAGATTTTTATATTGATTTTGGACATTTAATTTTGAGATGAGAAGTATCTTACAGTTTTGTGATACCGTTTGAAATAATTGAAGACATCATGCGTACTGTAGGAGCATTACAGGAGAGGTTGCTTTTTCCCATGTCACATAAGCCCTCTGAACACTACTATTTTAATAAGTCTATAAATTTAAAAATATTATTTGGTAACAAAAGACTCAAAGTTGTAGCCACTTGAAAAATATGTAGGAAGAGCCTCCAATTTCAAAGTAAGTTATTTGCCACCTACTAAAAAATAATATGTTGTACCTCCTCTACCGGAACGAAATAGAACATTTGTATAGTTCTCCCCAGGGGACAGTCATAGTCATGTTGTTCTTTTAAAGTCATTGAGCTCTGCTCCCTTTCTGCCCACCCTTCTTTCATTTCCAGCTCAGGTTATGTTGGCACAATTGACAGTTGGTTTTGAAACTAATCGACTTTACTGAGAAGTCCGTTGTTAATTGGATTCTTTTTTAATTGTAGGTAATTATTCTTTCTGATAGCTTCCTTTTTTTTTTTTTTTAAATCCTTAGAGTTTAGGAAATTTACAGTGATGTTCCTGAGCGTGTATCTTTTCTTACCAATCTTGTCTGGATCTTGGGGAGACCTGTGAAGTTGAAATTCAGTCCTTTCTTTAGTTTGTTGGAAATTTTCTTCTATATTGTTTTAACTGTTTTCTCTCTTCTATTTTGTCCATTTACTTTTTCTAGAGATGCTTCTGGAACTCTTCATGTGACTAGTATGTTAGGTTTGCTTCAATTTGTTCTTCAAGTCTCTTATCCTTTCCTGTTGTGATTTTCATCTCTCTGTATTTTTACTTTACGCTTTGAGATTTCTTCCAGTTGATCTTTGATACTGCCAATTTGAGTCTATCTTCTTTATGTACTGAATTATTCAATTCAATTATTCTGTACAGTTCAAGATTTTATTTATATTTTTAATTTAGTTAAAAAAAATTTTATTTCTATAAATTATTTTCTGTACTCTTTTTATATCAATTTTGACTCCCCTCAAGTGTTCATACTATTTTTAGCCTCAATTTTTCAATATCTTCCAGCAGAACTGATAGAGGTCTGCCCTTCCTCCTCCCCCCATCCTTAGATATGCTATTTATATGCACAGTGGGGTCAGGTCAAGCTGTTATAGAACTTTAAGTTATTGTAATCTTGTAAGTGATGAAAAGTACAGGAGTCTCAGCCTGTACTGTAGCAGCAGGCAAGTGTGTTTCCTGTCTACACACCTGGAGGGCTCCACGCTTTCTGGTCTTCTTGTATTTCCAAGTCTCAGGAATAGAGCTGACTCCTGAGTACCTTCTGAGCACCTTTAGGGCCAGTGTGTTTTGCCACACTCATGCAGTTATCTGGGGGCAAAACTCTTCTGGGTCTAGCCTGGGGTCCAGAGCAGTGCAAGCCCTGCACCAACCCTCTCTCTCTCAAGGTGCCAGTAAGCCCATGGCCACAGTCTTTAGGCTCTGCTGCCTGCTGGCCCATGGAGCTGACTGGTCAAGTAAGGTAAATGGATTGGATTTGGGATTGAAGGGCAGACAAGTCAAATTCAAGGCTCTCCCCTCCCCCAGCCCTGCCCAGGATCTTGAGTTTTGTATTTTGTCTGTAGCCTCAGATGGTATTTGATCCCTCTGTCACATTCAGCATATGTTTAATGACATTACAGGAGAGATTTCTAGTTCGGGTAGACTATCATGGTTTTCCCTACCTCCTTATATGCATAACTTCTTGGACTATACTATAACTTATAGGAAATGTCCTTTTAATATGCAGTTTGGACAAATAAACTGTTCTGGGAGAGTTTATTGGATTTAGACAAATACTCTTCTGGGAGAGTTTATTTGTCCATATGAGATTTCATTGAATAAAATGTGAGTGATCTGAAAAACTTGCATAACACCGAAGCCAGTTAAAAGTAGGACAGAGACCCAAAATTAGAGATTAGCTAGGGGGAAGAAACAGAAACAGGGCAGAAAAATCACCTTTTAGTTACCAGTCGTACTAGGAAAGAGACATGGAGTTAACATAAAAGTTGAAAGCCAGATATAACCAGAAAACCTTATTCTGGCCAATACTTACAACCTCTTCTTTTTCTTAAACCATTTACTGGAGTTGATGACAAGTAGTATTAGAGGAGATTATACATTAAAGAGGCCCATTCTGTTCCAGAAAATTAAAACAAGGAAGCATTCAGTAGAATCTGAATGGATGAAAGAAAATATTGTACCCTGTATCCACAGGTTGTAAAGTTAGTGCAGATATATGTATATTTATGTTTTAACAGTCATTTGCCTTAAATATTTGAGAGTTGAATTATGCACACAAGCTCTCACTAGTTGGATTGCTTGATATTCAGTTTGTCCTAATCAGCCTCAGGCAGAGAATTTGAATTATACAATATGTGTGAACTTCACATTGAGTGGTAATTAGATTGTGCTGCTGCTCTGTGACACTTAATGTTGTTGAGGTTAATAGTTCAGTAAAGGTTTTGAAAAACCAGTGACTAGATCCTCCATGTTTATGGGATAGATAGGCTGAGAATCAGTGAAAGTTTTTACTCTGTGTTGGTAGCACTTAATTGCTGATTTTGTATCCAAGCTTCTGTTTTGTATTTATATGTATGAATATGGACTCAGATGACATAAAATTTGAACTTTGCCATTTATTGCCAGTCTAGGCCAAAGAAAATACAGTCCTATATAATAGAAACCATGGATTTTCTAAATTTTATTTTTCTAGGGAGTTGTTGCAGAATGTTTGTCCCCTGAGTTCTTTCAGCTTAAAGAAAGCTTTCTGTGGTGGTAATTACAAAAGGGGAAGGAACAAGAATAATTGAGTAACTTGCTTATACCAAGGCTGGTTTGTTGGGTGGGTGAAAAGGTAACGGTAGACATCAAGTACCTAGACTGACACGGGGAATAAAAGCTATAACATTTCTGAAGTTTTGTGCCCAGCATTATATGGATGTAATTGAAACAAGAACTTAAACTGTCTGTGACACAAGAACCTGTGTCAGATATCACTATGCACCTTGTTAAGAATTTCAGTTTGTTCTACAGAGGATTGTAAAAATAAATCATGAGAGAACCCCTGTAGAAGCTTTTTTTTTTTTTCTGATGCTGAAACGTTATTTTTTTTTAATAGTTAATATTTAGAACATATATTGGTAGGTTAACAATTGTGTATTTTTAAATTACATTTGTAAAAATAATGTGTACTACACCATGCAGATTGAATATTAAACAGCAGTGCTTGGGTGTCCTCGAGCAATAATTAGAATATTGATTGCAAATTGCCAAAATTCACTGAGTCAACAAACCAATTAAAAAAAAAAAACCCAAGAATATTAGATTTCAGACTGTTCTTCCTTAATTTAGTTTGTCCATACTACTTTATTTTAATTATTCATGGCATTGCTTAACATGACAGGAAATGTAATAAAATTTATAAAATAATGAAGTTT